GCTTTTAAAAATCATCCCTTTTATGCAAAGTTGTTTTAAGTTATGAACATTATAAAAAAGAAATAGTTTTATAACAGATTGGTATCTTCTGCAATGCATTTCCAATGGTTGAGAAATATATATTGAAATTTGAGTTGAGAATATTTTACTCACGGTCAGAAAACATCTAATAGTGTATTATGATTTGGATTTAACATTTTGTGAAAAAAATTAAGTTTTGATTATTTTAATTACGATACCAATAGCAACTGCAGAAATTTAAAGATATTTCTCTAGTTTAAAATTGATCAAGACGTTTCTAAGGAACAAAATATCAGAAGAAAAAACTTTAATTGGAGGAATTTCTGACTTCAACGAAAACGTATTGGAAAGATTTATCTCCGATAAAATCAGAAGGAACGGGTTTCATTTTAAAAAGTAGGCTTTTGATCAGTACCTATTTAGTTCTGTGTCTTCCCGAATCAGCGCCCGAATCAGAAAGAGTATTTCAGGTGTTTGTCAAAACAGTCATTTATATTTCCAGTAAAAAGTTTATGGCTGAATAATTTTCAATTCAAATATCAGTTAAAATATTTTTCTGAACAAAACACATTTACTTACGTGTTGAAGATTGGCCAGAATATTAACTTACTAATAATGAGAAACATAGCAGCGATCAAACCATATAAAGGTCTTGGAAAATCATAAACTAACAAAAAGAGCCACGATTTGCTGATAGTTTTGTAATAAAAGGTTTATGCTCCTTTCGCGATGAGTTTTTTTTTTAATTTTCATCACGCAAGGCGCGTAAATTTGTAGTTTACAAGCCACAATTTTATGTGGATCGTTAAAAATAATCTAATCTACATTATTTTTAAAGTTTGTAGTTATTATAACAATTAAGATTAAAATGAAATGCAGTTTTCTTCTTCTTCACACATCAGGTTAGACAATACTTATCTTTGAGAAAATTTGATCGTGAAAACTTTGCACCAAATAATTGAACATATTCTGAGGTCCCAAATCCTGTCTTTTAATTAAACTCCACCAGAAAGACCTCTGCTCTTGATACAAGACAGCAAATATCTTAATGGAGGCTTAAGGATTTTTTCCCTCTCAATGTTTGTTTTGTCGATGTATACCCACCTCATGTAACTAATAATTTCAAAGAGGACATGGATGGCGGTTTTATTTCCATTTCTGATTTCCTGCACCGTTGTTCACTCACCTTTTATCTGCCTATCTATTAACCTTGAGACATCTAATATTGGATATAGGTCCCCCTCGCTCCTCCATCTTCTTCTATCTCGAGCCAGCGTGGTGCTTCAGGTCATCCACACACCTTATCTGTGGTCTCCAATCTGTAAATCTGTTTATTTGGCTGATATTTGGCTAATAGTATCTTTAACTTTTTAGTCGTATGGTGATTATTTGCATTTCCGTTGCTCTTTGTGTCTTCGCTGTTATATCCATATTAACTCTTGTGAATGTCTAAGTTTTACACCCATAAGTAAGGACGGGAAGAATGCACTAGTTGAAAAGTTGGGTTTCTAAAAGTTTTTTGAAAAACTCTTTTATAACAAAATCTTATAAGAAATAAGATTATTAAATACTACAATAAAACAAATTGGGTGTACATCATTTCTCTATTAATCGATCCCCGCCACAAATTGGAAACTTACACATTGGCTGCCTCTTTGAAGGAATTGCACCAGAAAAATGGAATAGTGGCATTATGATAATATTCAAGAGCTATTTAAAGACGAACGGACTGAGATAGTACTAAAGCAGGAAAAGTTCGACAACGGCCCAGACATAACAGAAGATGAGGTATTAGAGGCGATAAAGCGAACAAAGAATAACAAGGCAACAGGTCCTGACGAAATACCTGTAGACCTAATACGGTTAATAGAAGAACACGAAATTGGAATATTGGTCTACTTATTCCTGTATTGTATAATATACAGTACAGGAATCATTCCCAGAGATTGGATGATATCAACATTCATAACACTACCAAAAAAACCAAATGCAAAAGAATGCCAAGACCACCGAATAATAAGTTTACGCTCAAATTTTTTTTAAAAATTATACACCGGAGAATACACAACAAACTTGAGCAGGACATAAGTGACACTCAATGTGGATTTAGAAATGCACTGGGAACGAGGGAAGCCCTGTTAGCTATGAATGTACTTGTGCAAAGGTGCATGGATGTTAATCAGCCAGTATATATGTGTTTCTTGGATTACAACACAGCCTTCGATAAGGTAAGACATAACCGTCTTATCGAATTACTTGAAAAGAAAAACTTAGATATGAGAGATATCAGGATCATTAGCGCTATCTATTATCATTAGATCGCTGTGGTAAAAGAGAACGTCTTTTCAAATGAAATACAGATTGAGAGGGGCGTCAGGCAGGGCTGTGTCCTGTCTCCTACTTTGTTTAATTTGTATTCAGAGGAAATAATCCAGGAAGCACTAGAAGAACTAACTATGGGAATAAAAGTAAATGGCCGACCAATCAATAATATACGGTTTGCCGACGACACTATTTTATTAGCGGAATGTCTTGAGGATTTACAACAAATAGTTGACAGAGTGGTAGAAGTCAATGAAGAAAACTGACTGTCCCTAAACACGAAAAAGACACAATTTATGGTAATTACAAAAGCCCAACAGCGCCAAGAAAACATAACAATACATGAGAACAAATTAAAAAGTTGAAAAATATAATATCTGGTACAATAATTAATGAAAATAATGAGTACACAGAAGAGATTAAGGCAAGAATAGGACAGGCAAGAAATTCTTTCAACAAACTGAAAAAAGTACTCTGCAGCAGAGACATTTCAATTTCTTTAAAGATAAGACTTCTGAGATGCTACGTGTTCTCCGTAATATTTTATGGGTTGGAGGCTTGGACTTTTAAGAAAGATGTTTCGGACAGATTGGAAGCCTTCGAGTTATGGGCCTACAGAAGGATATTAAGAATAAGTTGGGTAGATAGAGTCACGAATGTCGAGGTGTTGAGAAGAATGGGTAAAGATAAAGAGGTCTTAAATACAGTTAAAGTCAGAAAACTGCAATATCTGGGACATGTTATGAGGGGCGAGCGTTATAACTTGTTGCAATTAATAATGCAAGGAAGAATACAGGGTAGAAGGAGTCGCGGAAGAAGACGCATCTCCTGGTTGAATAATTTAAGAGCTTGGTTTAACTGCACTTCTGCTGACCTCTTTAGAGCAGCGGCGTCGAAAGTGCGAATTGCCATATTGGTTGCCAACCTTCTTAGAGGAGATGGCACGTGAAGAAGATAATATTGCATAAAAAAGGAGATGTAACAGAAATTGGAAACTACTGACCTATCACCTTATTATCACCAACAGAGATAATGTTATCTGAGAATAACTACCAACAGACTGGGACCTAAGCTAGATTTTCACCAACCACTAGAGCAAGCCGGATTTAGGAGTGGCTTTGGAACGAACGACCACCTACAAGTAATAAAATCCTTGATAGAGAAACTTATACAATACAACAAGCCATTAATATTAATATTTGTAGACTTTGAGAAAGCATTTGACTCAGTCCACATAACTTCATGTTGGAAGCTTTTACAGAGTGCGGTATTGATCATAGGTACAAAACTCTCTTTGAAATATATATATAATAGCGCAACAGCGGCAGTGAGAATATCCTATGGCGATATCCTGTTTGTCATTCCGTATCTTCAACGGTATTGTGCCTTTCATTTGTAAGTTTTTTCCACATATTTCTTAAAAGTGATTACTAGTCTCTCTTCCATACTTAATAGTTGACTTGGTTATCTGTCAAACACCCAACTCTTTTAGGCTTGTAAATGTCTGCAGGTTCTTTAACTTTTTTGGGCATATAGCTGTAGTTCCGCACATTGTTCTCTCCAACCATGTATCCTTCTATTTAAACAATTTAAGTATTATTAAACGTGTTGTTTTAAATATTCTCAAGATGATTTGTTTTTTTTTGTAAATACTTTGTTTCCAAGCCATATGTCAGAATGTCAGCATTAATAGGGTGAGTGGTGAGTGCTATATATAATGTTACTATTGGGATAACAGTGTCGTCAGCGTATCCAAGATTATTAATCAGTACAGCATTTATTTTCAGTAGTAATATCCCTAGGACATTGATAACAGACGAGATAATTTCATGACAATCGAAAGCTCGTTCCTTGGTAACAACACGAAGCCGAAGGCTGAGTGCTGTTACCAAGCAACGAGCTTGAGAAATTTGTCATGAAATTATGAGGCATTCATCAATGTCCGAGGGATATTCGGCGGATAATTTTTCGAAAAAAAAAATCACAACTCAACATAACGAAACATTTATTTATTAAAAATACAGTTAATAAAGCAATAATGTGGTCCTCTTGTATCATTTTTATCAGATGAGATGTTTGATAGATAGATCAATATTAGAAGAATAAAATAAATAGAAGTATTGTAGATTATCAGCCCTTGTTTTCTTTCTGCATCGAGATTAATTTTCTTAAGTCATTTTTGTTTAGTGTGTTGATATATTTCACTAACACATTCCTAGACTTTTATTTTTTTGCTGTCATTGCAATAAATTTCGCATAGGCTATGATTTGTTTTAATTTTTAAATTGTTTTTGCTTTCAGTTATCCACGTTGGTTGCACTGTTTAATACAGTAGTGTCTTTCTTTCCTGATTGAGTTTGGCCTGAAATTATAATACTTTTGATCTCATATTTGTGCGACTGTAAGTATTTTTTTTATTCAGATCTTTATACAATAGGTTTTTATTTTATATCGTCTAAATAAACGCTATAATACACAAATATCTTATAAATAAATGTCTTTATTAAAAACAAAAAAAACTTTTACAACAAGCTACACTCTTTTAATATCATTTGTTTGTTCAAAATAAATTTTTTATACTTTTCTTTTTAATCGTAATATGGTATTTTTTTCTTAGAATTAGATTCAATTAGTTTTAAATACAATTTAAAACAAAATTACAAATCTATCCAGGTACCTATCAATTCATCTATTTGGACTCTAGCTGCCTTTAACTGTGGAGTATCATCATCGGAAGGGTTATACATATTTGCGCAGTGGGCAGCACCTATAAATATGATACAATTAATTTTAATTAAATATACATAGACGGTTGTGTTTCTATTTAATTCGAGTCTCTCGCCATTCTCACCTACTTATTTCGAGCTCTGCCTCTCGTCACGGAGACGGGAGTAATTATTATTAGAGTATTGATTAATTCATTTTAATTAATTATATAATTATTTATAAGTCAATCGAAAAGTTTAAACGGAGAAGAAAATAATAAATAAATAAAAAATAATCAAAGAAAATGTAGTAGTCTTAGGGCCAGTTCTACAATGCTAGTATATACTGAGAATAAAGTTATACTTGGAATAACTTCATTAATGGTGTTCTACAAACAAAGAATAAACTAGGAATAAGATAATCGGAGTATATCTGTAGAATAACTTTATCCCTCCAAAGTTTAGCAGATATACCGAGTATAAATTTATACTGCATTTCTATTGGTCGGTCAGGGGTTGTCAAATCTGTAATATTTTAACCTCACTTTGTTTGTTTTTATATATAAAATAAAATTTTTGATATTGCACAAACATTTTAGATTGTAAATCCAAAGGAAATTTTATTAGGCAATCCAAAGGAAAAAGAAAGCATTTATTATTTCAATTCTAAAATTTTAGGATATGTATGTAATGTAATAACGTCTACACATATGACTAGTATACCTAGTATAGGTATAATCTTACCAAGGCAATATATTTTTTAATGTTTTGATAACAGAGACTGTAATTCTAGAATCTGTATTATATAAACATTTCTTTAACTAAAATTATTTATTTTGTAATCCAATATTTATACTTTTTTAAAATGTGGAGTATACCTATATAGATATATTTACATAATTTTGGTTATTATATTATAACACTAATCTCAGTTGATGATAACAAAAAATTTAAGAAGGAAATTTTACATCTTTTTTTATCCATTTTATATTAATTTTGAAAAGTATAATAATATAAACGTAGATAAAATACCAGATAAAGCGAATCAATTATTCAATTCCTTTCAATTGTAAACAAATTTTACAGTTATGACAAATGCCAAATGTCGCTGTCAATAACAATTTGAACTAATTTTGAAGACATCAGATCTACTATTTCGTTTTACCTTAGTGTTCTGTGGTTATACCCAGAATAACTATTCCGCTGTCGATTTCACAATGTAGAACGCTCGAAAGGTTATACTTGGAATAAACTCAAGTATAAGTTATACTCAGAATAACTATTCTCCAATTTATACCTGGAATGTAGAACCGGCCCTTAATAAGCGAGACTATTTTACGCGGAGCCAAACCCGGAAAACAACAGAAATCATATATATATATAATATATATATAACTTTTTTGGAAATGGTTTGTATTAGCAAAAGTGATAATAATTTAAACAAAAGGTCAGAAATTCAAAATTTAAGCAAAATTTATAATTATATAATTTCTATTTAATTTATGCAGTCAGTAAAATATCACATTTTGAATTTCCATTTATTTGTTACATTTTTTCGGGCATCTATCAATGGTGAATAAATCTTCTTCTTTTTTGTTACTAAACAAAGAAGAATTTTTTAAACAAAATTTTATTTTTGACAATATGTCAAAAATAAAAATTTTTAAGTTAGTATTTATGACGTTTTAGGCTGGTTGTAGCTATTCTATATTTGTTTATAATTTCAATTTTTTTTTCTTAAGAAACTTCATCTAAATTTTTCAGAGAAACATTTGTTAGAATAAGACATTTTTTTATTAATATTTTTTGTATTTATTATGTAAGCAGTAGTTTTATATAAAAAACTAATTTTATTTGGTGAGTTAACAAAAAATTTTTTATTTCTAGTTCAACTTTGTAAGACATTTTGTATTTTTTAGAAGCTCTTGATAAAAATTGTAATCACAATTGAAAGCTCGAGTAAAAAATAGTCAACAAATAGCCCCTTTTATTGACTCCAACCCATCAAAAACAGTGTTATATATATATATATATATATATAATATATATATATATATATATATATATATATATATATATATATATTATATATATATATATATTTCATTACCCTATTTCAGAGATATCACTCCGGGGTTAACAAGGATTCTAAAAAGTTTTGAAAATAGCTTTGGGAATAATAATAATAACATTAAACTTAATGTGGCTTGTAGATCAGCCCTAACAATTAATAATCTTTATTCGAAGATAAAAGATAAGACTCCCATAGATAGGCTTAGTAATATTGTCTACAACATTCCATGCCTCTCTTGCAGCAATTCCTACATCGGCCAAACATCTCAATTATTGAAATCACGTATTACACTACACAAAAGTGATTCTCGACTTCACCCTGACCGCTGTGCATTAGCCAAACATGTCCATTCCACTGGTCATCACATGGACTATACGAACACTACAATTCTCCACCGTGAGAACAATAAATCTAAAAGAGAGTTCATTGAAATGTCTTATATTTTCCTTAACGATTTTTCCATCAATGTTAAGAGTGACATTAAGAATCTAAGCGATATATACCACTTCTTACTTAAATCAGATACCAAGAACAATACAACATCACAGATAACTAACTTGACTGATATATCTATTAACAACTAACCTACTTTAATAATAATTTTCATTAACTAAAAAAGATAACATTCCCTTGCTTTTCTTAGATACATCTCAATAAGATATTATTATAATAATACATGAACAATATACTAATTAAAAAAGAATTTCAATTAAGAAAATTCTAAACTAATATCTCCCCAGACTGGGATCTAACTTCATCGGTTTTACCAATGAACCTTAACGACATAAATATTCAAAAGCACTACTTGTAATTGTCAGCGCTTGCGTTCTATGAAAACAGAAGCTCACATTCAAACTTTATAACAATCAAAAATTTAGTTATTGCCGACAATTCAAAGAATTACTTCCTTTAAATGTAGTTACATTGGGTTTTTCGATTAACCTTGGGTAAACCTTTGCGTTTTAAGTTCAAAGCTACCATACATTTCCAACGTTAACAAAAAACTTTTTTGCACATAGTAACAAAAAAACACCACTATGTTGTTACTAGCTAAAGTTTTTTAACATCATAACTCGACATTTCTAAAATTTACGGTAAGGTAAATGTTTTTTATTAGATAATATATGGTAGCTAATTATAATTTATTCTCTTTCAGCCCTGAAGAAGCCAAATTAATTCTCTTTGGCGAAAACGTTAGGCGAAACAATTGATACACATTAGAGTTTTTCTTGCAGATTTCCCCAATATTTAAGAGTTTACTATATATATATAATATATATATATATAATATATATATATATATATATATATATATATATATATATATATATATACATCTCCCAAATTCTTACAAAGACCAGTTTTGCGCTTTTCCGAAGCTATTCATTCCACTAGACGAAAACTAGATGTTACAAATATCAATATTTTCAATATCTGGTCATATATTCATTCTTTCAATTTACATTCTATATTATGGGACAGTTTCGACTGTATCAACACACAGACAGTCCTAAACACTTTCGAATGTAAGACTGAAACTCAGAAGCGCAAATTAGCGCATCTAATTGCCGAACAAATTCCAAAAACCTACAACTTTGAAACCCACTACAGTAGTTTACACTTTTCTAATACCTCGATTTCAAACATTATCACACAAATTTTAGTAATAAAGTTTGTCAAACTGAAGAAGCCTCTCTCTACCTTCCGAAGATGCTAAAATAACTAGACAAGACATCGCTAGGGTTCTTAGAAACTCTTACTCCGAACATTAGCCAATCGGAGAAAAAGGTCCTAAAAGAACTTCAGTCAAATCCAAATCTAGTCATTCTTCTCACCGATACAGGAAATGCCACCGTCATCCTAAACACATCTTACATTAATAAATTCTCAAATCACATTATTGATCCAGAGTACAGATCAATTCTTAATAATCCAACAACCTATCTAAAGCAAACAACAAAAGTCATCATCAATAAAACGTCTCTTCCTGTTGACATAAAACAATCTCTAATTTCTCGTGAAATGTCTTCTAGAATACCTCAAATATATGGCGTAACCAAAATTCACAATCCCGATATTCCTCTACGTTCCATTGTCAGTGCATACAACTGCCCTACACAACCATTGGCAAATACTTGGCTAAAACTCTACACCTCTCGCCAAAAATGCTTCATCCTTCGTCAAAAATTCTTTTCGTTTTATCGAACTTCTTAAACAAAACACTATCTTACCGTCAGACATTCTAGTGGGTTTCGATATAGTTTCACTTTTTACAAACATTCCTATAGACGAAACTCTAATCATTCTGAAAATTAAATACAGTATCCAGCAAGACCACTTACCTCTTATTAAACATTCCACATTAGCATCCACAGACATCAATCTCCCACTCAATCTTAACTCAAAGAAAGACTCAGACCCTTATCATACGAAAGCTTTTCTTCCTTACATCAAAGGTATCACTGACAAAATCGACAAAAAATTTAAATCAAGAGGAATAAAGACAATATTTACTCCCAGCAAAAACTTTCATCTCTTGTCGTTCAATCAAAGACAAGATTCCAAATGAACAACACGGAATTTGTGAAATCCCTTGTGCAGACTGCCCCGATCTTATATAGGTCAAACAAATCGTAGAATCCAAAATAGGATTTATGAAAATTCCATTTCTGTTCACAATTACGATTCAATTTCAACTCTTGGTCAACACCATCTTCAAACAGGTCACAAAATTGATTTTGAAAACTCCAGAATCATAGCTTCCATCCGCATCTATAAACGGAGAATTATCCGAGAAGTCATAGATATTGAAAAAACGACAAATTGTCCTAATAAAAGAGATGACAGCATCCAGTTACCTTCGACGTGGAGACCTCTCATAAAGAAAATATCGTCTGCCCCATCCTCCACTCAAAATCCGCCGTCAGAAATGTTTGCGCCAACCCACACGCCAACCTCCAATCCAAGCCAACCTAAACCACGTCACCATCGACGGTATAAATGAACCGTCCGCTGTTCCCAGTAGCAGTAGTGCAGAGATTAGTGATCTATGTAGTAGTGTCTAGGAGCTTGGGAAACTGAGACCTCAGACCTGACGAGCTGCACGTCCATTGTGAACTAATCATGTCTATTATTACTACGTTTTCTTCTAAAATATTGATCTTGTATTCTTGTAAATATGTTATTCGTACAAAGAAAATAAAAAGTATATCGAATCTTATGGTGGTTTTCTATCTTTTTAGTTTACTTACCTTTAATAAGGATAGCAGGAGCTTTATCATTTAAGGTTGTTGTAACTCCCAAAACATGCCACGGATCCAATGAACCTTGAACGAATACAACGTTTGAAACTTCAATGTCTAAACCACCATAAAGGACGTTGGTCCTTTCTATAGCATGGTTTAGAAAAGTTTCATTGTATGAAGATCCAAAAATGTCTTGGCATTGCTGAATGGAGAAACTAAGTGGGAATCGGGTGCCAAATATATGAGGTTTGTAGGAGGAAGTTTGATAATAACCAAATTCTGTACAGGTTTGATATGTCCATTGGCGACCTACAAAAGATGTTAAAATCCTTAAAAACCATTTAAAAAATTGCTTATCTAACGAAAGTCTGTTTAATTTAATAATTTTTATAATAAGAGCAAACTGTTTTTGTCATAAAGTACTCCTCCTTCCTTGACATGACTTATATTTAGTTACTTCTTCACGTCCCTCAAAATGTTGGAATTTCAATAAAATTTCGTACCCAAATTGGATGTATAGTTGGGTAATGCCCGTGTTGTTCGAGTTATATTAATATTGTTCTGATTCTCCTTCCCATAAATATACAATTGAATACATTTTTCTAATATGAAATTAGTCTCGGTTCTCTTAGTTAAAAAATAAAAGATATATTTTGTACCCTTATTTAGACTCCCTAAACAGCCTTTTATTTCCTCTTCCAATTATATTGAAATATTATTCTTAATTGGACTTCAATGATATTAAAATTTCTTTCAATAAGCTTCGTGATACAGTGCGTTAATATAGATATTGCAAACTACATAAACGCAAAAATCGGCAACATTGCCTCGTACGAGGTAATTGTAATTCTCCGATCCCCTTCGACACCTTAGACACCTAGACAGAAAACGAAAAAACGAAAACCATTTAACACATAACAACGAAAGTGATATGCATCTCCGTCAGTCGATTTTTGTTTTGCTTACGTATATCCGGTTCATTTCTTATAACATCAACTCGATAAAAAATACATTGACCATTATAAGGCACTGCATTTGTATTGGTTTTTAATATGTCAACATATGTTTTAATGTCAACAATTTTTTTTGGTTAAATTAAAAATAAAATCGCATTTCTTTAAAAAGATAAAACAAAAAATATACTCTTATTGAAAATAAAAAATAATTCCTAATAAAATTAGAAATAATTCTTATGCCCTACATAAATGATTCAAATATTTGACCTTACAGCTGAACAGTATCTCAATCTGTCATAAAAACTTCTGCGGACAGATGTAAGAGTTTCTGCTGTAACAGAATTGGAGACTTCTCTTATTCGGTTTTTTAATTCATTCAAATGTTGAGCTCTAGCCTCAGATCATCGTAGATAAAGCTTTTTAAATGTCCCAAAAAAGAAGTCCATGGGTGTAAGATCTGGAAATCGCACAGGCCACTTAATATCGCCTGTTCCACTGATAACTCGATTCGGGAAAGTATTATTTAAGTACTCCCTAATTATTCGAGCGTTGTGAACTGAACAGCCGTCGTGATGGAACCAAACATTCTGTAACAAATCGAGGTATACTCTACTATTTAAGGTGCCCTCAATAAAAAATGGACCTATTATGTGGTCTCCTAAAATGCCAGCCCAGACGTTAACGTTTTGAATACGTTAAGTTCGGTAAACAACACTCCTGTGCTGGTTTTCCTGCACCTAATAACTCGTAATGGAAGGATTGTGTCTCCCTACTAACGAAACAGAAGATTCATAAGTAAATAAGTTGTTTTTAATAAAAGTGGGTTCATTATTAGCCTTTGTTATTAGAGTTTAACAAAACTCCATTCTTCGAAAGTATGGAATAAAGCTGCTGCGTTTTCGAATATTTAAAATTCTTGTAACAGTGCTTTTTCCATACTTTCGTTGCAATAACATCGCTAACATCTAACTCTCTAACAACGCTTCGACTTAAACGTGTTGAATATATCTCGCTTGTTACACAAATTTGTTTATCCCGGTATTCTCTTTTCCTCAACTTTTTTCGGCGACACTTCTTGAGCGTGACATTTTCTGAATGTTGTAAGGCAATAACAACTATCAAAATGGGAAAGGAAAAAAGAGAAAAGACAGTTAACGTCGATGGCGCGCAGTGTTGCCATTTAAACAACGTATATATGTAATTTAAAACTTCACGTTCTGCATATTTTCTCTAGTACTTTACAGTATACCCATTTATAGTATCTAACAAGTAATTTTAAAAAATCTTACTTCCAGCAGCAGCATCACTATCCCAACTAACGTCCTTCATCTCGTCGATCATCTTATTATAACTGTAATCCAAACACTTCTCACCATCCACGTCCAGAATCAAATTATTAACAGCTGCCAAGCGGTTGATTTCGGGTCCGATAGATTCATCCAACAGAATGTCACACAAGCGATCGACGGTGAGGTTTCTCTTTTTAGTTACTTCTCTGTTATCCTTATTATACTGAACCACCCCAGCAAAATTATCAGCCAAGCTCATGAAGAAGTTGGACATATCCAAAGAGTTATTAACGTTCTCTGATATATCGTCACACAAATTGAATAGTTTGTTAAGATTTTTTTGGCCAACTGCAGTGTGCAGAAGAGCTTCAACTTGTGCAGTACTTTGTTTTACAATATTTGGACATTTCTCGTTACTGGCTCGCAAAGAATCGGCTACTACCTTGAAATATTCTGAAATAAAAAGAATTTTATTATAAATACATATATAAAAGTAGTACAATTATTAAATAAATAATTAATTAAAACCCTTTATTAACATTTTGAGCCATATAAATATGAAAGTAAGAGAGAGTAGAACTATTTCAAGAAATTTTAAAAAATCGACCAATTTTTGAAAAATTCATAACTTGGGTCCTTTTAAAAATGGAAAGATAATTCTCTGGATGTTTATTTATAAGATGATGTTTAAACAGGCCCAAGGAGGACTCGGTCCACAAATAGTTTTTTCAAAATCTTAGTTTAAATTTTTTGCATCGATATTTTGAATGACTCGGCATAATAAATAAGGTTATCCGCTTTTTTTAATTCAGAAATTATACTATAAAATTCAAAATTTATTCTTCAACTTGACTAGCTTCGATTTTCATTAAAGTATGGCGAAAATGTAAAAACTGCTCCGAACAGCCGATCTCACTTTTGGAACGGAGAAGTGAGGGACTGAATTAAGCAATATTATAAGCAATTTTTAATTTTTTCTACACTATTCCGCTACAGCAGCGGGATCGTGCATTTAAACCAATGTTGGGAGCCGTGTTTTAAACTTTTCTCCATACTTAAATGAAAATCGAAGATCAAAAAAGTTCGGAGAATAAATCTAATAATGTTTTCTAACATTTTTAGTTTCTAGAACATTCGATAAGATGCAAAAAAATGTAGACGACGTAGAAGAGAAGATCAAACAATTAGAGAGCATGATAACCAATACGAAAGTGCTACCACCAGTTAATGCAGTAGTTTTAGAACCTGTAGTAAAAAAAGAATCACTATTGTGACAGCCAATCATTGGACCGAATAAGAAAAGGCAGATTCCTTGACTGCTGCTTTACGAGGTGATGCTGCAGATATCTTAAGATCGGTTCCTAATGATCAACAAAAATGCTACGCTACTGCCTTGAAACACGAAACAGCTAGTCAAACTTCACGGAGCCATCGAGTACGAATAATTGAAGAAGGCGACGAACAAAACGATAACCGTCTGGAGGAAATGGTAAGGAAATTAGTTCGTAATACGATACCGAAGAGAAGCAGCATAGATGTCGGAATGGTGGCGCCGTAGGCCACATTTGCCGTAAATTGAAGGAAAATATTACAACAGTCGGAAAAGTAGAACAGATCAAACCCAGGGCTAAAAGAGTTCATTCAAATGCTGATGCTCTTTTGAGAAAGCCGTGCAGTGCAAATCGTAATCAGTGTATTGAATTAGAGAAAAGAATTTGCCCCGTGAGACGAAGATCATCATTAATGATCAATGAGAACCTCAAACACTACAAGATGCTCAAGCATTTGATCCATGTATAAAAAGATGCGTCGAAGTGAGAGACCTTCTTGGCAAGACATTATTGCACTCAGTCCAGAAGTCAAGTCGTACTGGAGCCAATGGAGTTGCCTGGTACTAAAAGATCATCTTCCGTAAAGAACCTTTGAGTATTGTATACCTTCCGTATTGTACCTAAAAGTAAGTGTTAGAAGTATGGCGACAGTTGTGGACACTTTGGTATTATTTGGGAATACACGTGATGATGAATAAAGGTACACTATTCCAGATGATTCTACTATTAGTATTTCTGTATATAAGGAGCGCTGTTATTAGTGTTAGTTATTTGATAAGATATTATCGTGTTGTAAGCTTATAAATAAATAGTCTTACATACATTAGAACTGCTCGTTTTATTTTAAAACACGTTACAGGATTTTGTTTTCCTTCTTCCTCTTTTATAAGCAATTCTGCTTGTTCATTGGCAAATTAATACCTCTATGGAAGGTTCTCACTCCATCTTTTGCGCGGTCGTCCAATACTTCTTTACGTTATAGTATCGATACAAAAAATTCATCGACTTTGAAAAAATATTCTTCGCTGATACGCTGAGATATAACCTTAGCTCTAGAAAGATGGGAGGATCCAAAAGCAATGGTAACAGCAAGAAGAAAAATACTATTGTGAATGTCCCTTTTCCTCAACATAAGACGAGAACCAACGTTCTAAATGGTTGATTATGAAAGATTCTGATAAATTAATCTTTTTCGAAGCAAAGTATAGTTAGATGTTGAAGTAATAGATTGTGAGTTTAAGTATTTTATTTTATTCGAGCCACCAGTTACCTTAGTACCATAAACATGAAGAAAATGCCATGGTCCCATTCCAGGAATTCCTGAGGCCAGTCTGATGGCTAGAGCTGGCAGCCCCGGCATCAGAATCGAGCGCGATAGGCCAATCACCTATCCGCCTCAAATTACTAGATTTTCGAAACTTCTACAGAAAACAACCGGACGGATCCTTTGATAACGACCTTTGGCTTACGTAAACGGACAAGAATCGGATATTGGAACATAAAAACTATGATGCAAGCATCACGCCTTGCCCAAATTTGTAGAGAGATGAAAGCATATAAAGTCGATATACTAGGTCTCAGTGAGACACGGTGGAATGGGACGGGAGAGCACGTCAACATGGAAGGCGACCTGCTGATATACTCTGGTAAAACAGATGGCGGAAGACATGAAAATGGAGTAGGAATTCTATTTAGTAAAGTCACAAAAAATTCTCTTGTGGAATGGAAACCTGTTTCAGAGCGAATAATCACTGCAAGAATTAGGACCAAATTAAGACTGGTAACACTGATTCAGTGCTATGCACCAACAGAACAAGCAACAGAACAAGAAAAAGAGGATTTCTACGAATGCCTTGAAGCAACATTAGAACAAATTAAAAGATCCGATATAAAAATAATGATGGGAGACTTCAATGCCAAGGTTGGCACTGACAACACCAACCTAGGACACGTTATCGGAAAGCATGGCACTGGCCAGAGAAACAACAACGGCGAACGCTTCATTGAATTATGTGGTAACCATGACCTAATCATTGGAGGGACTTTGTTCCCACACAAAACAATCCACAAGGTATCATGGAAATCGCCAGATAACCGCACCTACAATCAAATCGACCACGTTGCAATCAGTAAGCAATGGAGAACATCTCTCTTAGATGTCAGATCATGGAGAGGCGCAGATGCGGCCAGTGATCACTACCTGATGATGGCCGAAATTAGATTCAAAATAGCTAGGAATAGAAAAGAACTGAACAAACCTATTCGAAAAAAGTTCAACATTGAGAAACTACAAAATAACGAGACGAAAGTAGAATTCGCACGACAGCTGAGATCCAAAATCGACGAAAGACAGGACAAAAATTGGGAAACGATTAGCAAAGCCCTTGTGGAAACAAGTGAAAACGTGCTGGGCCTAAAGAAAGACGTAAAGAAAGAGTGGATTACGAGAGAAACGTGGAACAAAATAGAACGTCGCAAACACATTAATCTAGAATTACTAAATTCCAAGACAGCAGCAGAGAAGAACCGACTTAGAGAAAGTTATAGAGAAGCGAATAAAGCTGTCAAGAAGGCAGCAAAGAAAGACAAAAGAAAGTGGGCAGAAAATCTTGCCGAAGAAGCGCGAGTCGCCGATGAACATCAAAACATGAGACAATTATATAATATCACTAAACAACTAGCCAATAAAAGATATACTACCCACCAACCAATTGTAAAAAGTGCTACAGGTGAAGATATTACAACGCCACAGGAACAAGTCAAAAGATGGCATGAATATTTTAGCGAATCTCTAAGTGCAGTCCCAACACCACCAGAAGACGCAGAAAACCTAATACCCAATATCCAACTGAGAATTAACACCAACGAACCAACAACGCAAGAAATAGAAATGGCCATAGAAAAACTGAAAGCACACAAAGCAGCCGGCCCTGACAATATTCCACCAGAGTTGTTAAAAGCTTGCCCAGGTACAGTGGCAGAGCTAATCCAACCACTCTTGAAAAGGGCTTGGAGAGAGGAAAAGTTCCCCAAAGAATGGAAAACGGGATTAATAATAAAGATACCAAAAAAGGGTGACAGAAGATATTGCGAAAACTGGAGAGGAATCACACTTCTGAATACTATAAATAAATTAACAGCAATAATTATAAACAACCGACTAACAAACAGTGTAGAACCAATGTTGAGGAAGGAACAAGCCGGTTTCAGACCAAACAGATCATGCGTGGACCAAATTAACACACTAAGAATAATTGTAGAACAGTCACAGGAATTCAACTCTCCTCTCTTTGTGTGCTTTGTGGACTTCAAGAGAGCTTTTGACACGCTCACACATACGGCCATATGGAAAGCACTGCAGGAAATAGGAATACCAGAAAAAATAGTAAATCTCATCAAAGAACTCTACAGTGACACAGAAAGCAAAATCCTACACAACGGCATAACATCTGACCCAATAGCTATGCTAAACGGAGTAAAGCAGGGCTGTGTTTTATCCCCCATACTATTTAACATTGTACTGGACTCCGTACTAACAAAGGTAAACTCTAATAGAGGAATTTACTGGGGATTAACAAACAGACTGGAAGACCTAGATTACGCTGATGATATATGCCTCCTAGCACATACAAAACAGGACATGCAACTCCAAGTAAACAAAGTACAAGAAGAATCAAAGAAGGTTGGTCTAGAAATAAACATCAACAAAACCAAAGAAATG